AACTTAGGAATCATCAGCCACAAAAGGCAGATCCAAAATGGTGTTAAAGGAAGCTAAAAAATTTAGGCAAAGAGCCCAACCTGGAGATGTGCTTCCCACTGGAGTCTGGATGCCAAAAAACTTAGAACCAAGCCTGGAGCTCTGCTCAGCCTGAGAAAGGTTCCTGTGTCATGGGCAGGAAACACATACCTGGGAGTGGAGAAATGCACATGATACTCTCCAGCTTTTTCAATGTTCAAAAAAAATTAAGAAAAAGAAAAAAGGATCCTTTGGAGCAGGAGTAGGTGGTGGGCACACGGAGCATAGCGGGCCAAGTCAGCTTCCAGTTTAGAAAGAAGTGTAAAGCATTTCAATGTTTCCGATGATCATCAACTTGTCACCTGAATCCTTCCATTCCAACAGTGGATGTGTCTGTCCCTGAATGTTAACAGGGAGCAGAGGGAGCTGCTCCAGAGGAGACAGCTGCAGAAGATTTCTCGCTGCAAATTCCTTCATTATCTATTTGCATATTTCAAAGCAAGCGCTGTACTCCTCTGAGGATGAGAAATATTCGCAGCAGAACTGTGCCCTATTGCAAAGGAGTCACAAGCAGGAGATGATGTGGCCATTACAGATTGTCCTGCTCTGAATGTCCCACACCTCCAGTACTTTCCATCCCACAGTCCAAGAAGGAAAGCTAGTGTGAGCTTCCTACTTGTGGGAGACGTGCCGATGTCTACGCAGCAGAGGTATTTCATTTCATTTCAAAGCCATGTGCAAAACTTAAAGCCCACAGACACTTCCAGCCCTTTTTTATCTCCTTTCAGCAAGCACGTTCTAGTTCATTATAAACTCTGCAATTACTCCAACCTGGCTGAGGGATTATCCATCCATTTCATGCTGAAACCTCTCTCTCACATGCACTCTTGCACACTCACACACACGCGTACACATATCCTAAGGGGGGATGTTTGAAAATGCCACTTTCTTCTGACATTGGGAGATCTACTTACCAGATTGCTCCTCCCTGGGTGCACAGTAAACACCACCAAATGTCAGGCTGTGGCAGTTTCAAGTTCAAGTTAGATCAGTTAACTTCAGTTTCCTTCTTAGCTATCAGAAAATGTGTACATCTTGGGGAGTGGGGTAGAAATCCTCACCCTTCTGCGGTTCTGTGTGAAGTACCCAGACACAGTCCTTCCTGGAGGGTAAGACACTGTTCTTACCATGTGCCAAAACCAGATTTCAGCTGTTGCTCACTAACTGTACCTTAAACAGCTCTACCCAGCAGAGTTGAAACTACGGTACCGCTTGAAGACCCAACAGTGCTTAGAAGTTACAGAATAGCAGCATGGAGCAGCAGGGCTACGACAACCCAGGACAATCTGCAGAGGTGGTTGCCTGTGTGGTCAGCCAGTTTTCCAGTTCTCCCAAATTCTCTCAACTAGCAAAATAAAATACATCCTTGCAGGTACTGCCCACAAAGATGCAATTAAAACAGTAGGAATTTCTGCAGCCTTCAGAGGCTGGAGTAGCAGATCATTGTTTTTTACAATAACCTAAATGTAAAAGACAGAGGATGACCAAACTGAGGAAAAGAACTATGGTGATATGCAAACATGCTGCAGATCTTACAATAAATGAAGTTAGAGTAAGTGTCCAAATAACATTAAGAATAAGGCTCAGAACTTCAAATCAGCAAAGTTTGGGATGTAAACTTGGAGTCCCTCTGCTCCCTTGCCACTTTGGCTTTGGGACTGCAGTATGTTTAATATGTAGGAGCTGCCTACATATTAGTCAAAATTAGTTGTGGATGAACTTAACAGCGTGAAACAGAACTTTTATGACTCTGCAGAGGTAAGTCACACTGTCAGTGTTACCTGACCAGAGTCAAGTTGTTAACCTTTTGATTCTTTTACAGTCCTAGTTCAAAGAGAAAACAGGAGTGTCACCAGATCCTCTGAAATGCACTTCAGAACTGATGTAGTTTCTAGGCTCAATGAAAATACAGAGAGCTGAGTGCTCAACACTGCTGCCCACAGACTTCAGGAGCTGCACTAGGTACTCACCAGGCACCAGCTCTCCCTTCCTGCATAACTCCATTGCCTTCTTGTCTGTCTTAGCTGTCACCAAAACGATTTAAGCCCTCTGGACTGCTCTTTGGGGATGCCTGGCCCAGCTCCTTGCAAAATTTCATTGGTCAAAAAAGCGCATCCGAAGCAATTAGAAACAATTCAACTGCTTCCCCAGCAAAGTGAAGTTGAAGAGAATAGCTTAAAAAAATTCCTATCTGCCAAGCTCCAAGTTTAGAGGGTTTTAACAAAGCCTGTTTAAAACCCCTCCAGCCTGGAGAATAAGGGTTGTGATTTCCTACTGTGGGATTGCAGCAAGTCCCCAGTTCGGGGTTATTAAAGACCTAAAGTGGAATATTTGGGCCTAAACCTGGAATGGACAGAGACTGCTTTACAGTCTTTCCTCATCCAAATGCAGGCCTACTGCAATTCCTTCCAGCTCTGTAAAAACGGCTGTTTCCCCCCAGACATCTCTGCCTATTTCAGAGACATGCAGAATTCTTTCTCATGCCCGTCCTCTTCAGGGCTATATTTATCTTCTAAACAATGGTAATTTGCAAAAGTCTCAGCTAGAAAGCAAAGATCCAGCTCAGCTATCAGCAAAGGGACTCATCAGCCTATGTCCATAAATGGCAATGCAGCATGCACGTGAGAGAAGCACACCAAAGGCCCTCCCTCTGAAGGCTTTCTAGCAAGACTAGCCCCAGAAATGTTGTACAGCTGGCCTGGAGCCACTCCCACCTGTACTCATGGACATATATAGTCATTTCACCCACCTGCCATCAACAGCGGACTGTGCCCCACCAGTGCTCATGTGAGCAAAAACTTACTGTCATGGTCAGAGTGCTTGTGTAGTGTCTCCACACTAGGGTGGCTTTATCTTGAGAGTTTCACAAAGCTTTTAGCAGCTCCCTCTTCCAGCATCCACCTACAGCCTCTCTGAGGGAAGAAGGAATGGGAAGGAGCAACGTCCAGCTTTTCTCCTCACCCCAGCCACAAACTTCCTCCAATTTACAGAATGATCAACACCACACTGTCTTCAGGGAGAGCAGCAGGAGGAAGATGGTACAGAAAATCCCTTTGCTAGTGAAATACTATCCTGGGCCAATGTTTTATCTGGGGCAGGGGTGGCAGGATCTCAGCCCCAGTCCATCATGCTTGGGACTTTGGCAGAAGAGAGTTTAACTTTTCACTGACTAGCATTCCTCAGCCAAGCAGATGTTAAGGGAAACTACAATATACATCGAGCTTCCAAAGGGTTAGTAGAGCAGGCAGGAGAGGAAAGAGATGGATTTGGCTCATAATAGTAAAATTTCAAGGGTCCTCTCATCACAAAAAATAGGTCTGCAGTCAGAACAGCCAAAAGCCGCAGGGAAGTTAGGGTGGGGGGGTTGGTCTGGCTGTTACAAGTATTTCTGTTGCTCTTCAGGGCTGAATGCTTTTTCAAAGGCCTAGCAATGGATATTGATTTCAGTCTGAGAGTAGCAGCCTCCTTCCTACTCTCCCTCCCACCCACCCTGAAGTGACTCTCTCAGCAGGGTGCACTGTGGCTATAAGTCTTCTGCTTAACAGCAAAGCAACACATTCTGGCAACATCTTAAATATATTCATAGGACATCTGTGACTGGGTTTGGAGGGGAACCAAACAGGGTAAAGGGAAGAGGAGTGAACAGGAAGAGGGGAACAAGGGAGGAAAAGGATGGGAAGGTTTAAAAATGTTAACTGTTCATGAAAGATAAAAGTCATCTTCTGATATAGCAGCACTTTAGCAGTCAGCCGCGCTGAGTAGACCCTGTCTGAGATCAACCGCATGCCAACTTTGTTCCAGAAACAAGTCTGAGAGCCTCTCTCTTCAGCAAGTATTGGTTACGTGGATAGTTCTTTTGTCCTGGCACTGGCAGATAATTTAAATACTGCAGCTTAAGTGAGTCCTGGGAACAAAAAACAGAACAAACCAAACAAACCCCATTCATACTAAGCCTTTTAATCATTTAAAAGAACATCTGATTGACCAGAGCGTTTGAGAAAACCAAGATGGCTGATCTGAGAGCTACAGAGCAGCACTGTATATTTATCAATCAAACGAGATACAGGATGTGCCCCCATTACAGAGCATTTTCATGGAAAAATGTCACTGTGGACATGGCCCTGCAGAATCCTGTCAGCTCTTCTGCCATTTTTCTCAAGCTACTAACAGTAGCGGTGCTTGTACCCACCAAAGCAGGCAATCATGCTATCCCACTTCACTCTTATACATCAAATCCTCTCTACAACTGACCCAAATATATGGAACATTATGTCCTCCCCACACTGTGCTGGGCCATGACGAAAGGGTAAGGTGATGAGCAAACCAGCCAGGCTGTGACATGAGCAATTTAACATCCATGCTGTGTGCTAGAGAGAACAAGGTCTAGGCACTATCAGTAAACTATTTTGCACATTAATGCATCTCGATTTAATTTGCCTGGGCTTGTGCCTCGGTGTCTTCTCCCTTAGTCAAACTGTTCTCTTGAATCAGCTTGCTGCAGAGTGAGAAGAATGGTCACCACTTCAGAGGGAGGGAAAAAAGCTGACACTTCTTGGCAAAACCCTTCTGCCTGGTGACAACTGCCCAGGGTCAGGCCATCTGCATCCCCTTGTTAGGCAGCAGCTGCTCTACTCGCTCTGCAGAAACCCTCTTCCTTCTGGACAGCAGCAATAGTTGATTTAATTATTGATGATGATGGACAGAGGGAGGAGGAGTTCTACAGGGGAACTCACAGGTGCCACATGCCACAAATCCTAAAATGAAGTCTCTATCCTAAGGTATCACAACCATTCCTGTCCTTTTACAGGACACTGTAATTACTGTCCAACCAAGATGAGAAATACTGACAGACTCAGCTAGCTATTCAGGCAGCATGTTCAAACTAGACTCACAGTCATCTTTGAGCCTCTGATTTTTTAACATTTTTTTTTACCTGTGCGAGTGTGAGGTACAGTGTAGTGTTATTTATCTTGAGATGTAGGTGTACGTTCTGGACGGGGAACGAGTCGATTCTGCTTGGGCAGCTGGGTCATTCAGAAAATCCCAGATGAGGATGGTGTCATCATGTGAGCTGCTGACGATCTGGAATTCGTCAAACTGAAGTCGAAAGACTCTTCCAGAATGCTCCTAAATGCAAGTGGGACACACAGCAGGTTACTTCACAAACTTGCTGGCACCTAGGACGGAGCAGGGAAGAAGAACTTGGGCTTGGACTCCAGTGTTACATTAATTTCCCAGTAAAGCACATAAGGTACACTGTACCTCACCATCACACAGCATAAATTAAACCCTTTCAATGTAAAGGTTTTGCCATATCTGAGTATTTGGTTCACAGGAAGTTCATATTACAGTGACCCTGTTATTCCTTAAATCCCAATATTGGACATACACTGCAGAACAAACCAAGCTCCCACCACCACCCAATTCTGTCTTGTGAGGCTGACAGGAGAACTGTCTTTCTTGGTCCATGGTGAAACTCTTCCCAAAAATCACAGCATTCGCAGATGAAATAGGTTACAGGGAGGGAGATAAGAACTTTTCATTCAAGACTTGGCACCATTGCCACTGTCAAAGATGAAAGAGCTCAATACTGGAAGACAGTAAAGAGCCTGTTGTAAAGTCCAGTGACACAGTTATCACTCCTCTTAAGCAGTTCTAGAAATATGAACCAGAAAGGGCACTCTTTATAGGTAGTCTGCATTCTGCTCTGAGGCTGAGTGGAAATGGCATGACAATTTGGCCAGAGTTCAGACTGTAATTAACAGACAGTAAAGTCAAGATCCTGGATATTACAGAGCAAATCCACTTTGCTTTCCATTTTGTATTGCCTATTTTTTCTTGGTGCTTACACTGCTGCAAGAGAGAGCAGTGGCCCCCTCAGTCAGAGGGGAAATGAAACCAGGCAAGTAGAGTGAGCCCTATCTCTTCTATTAATACATATTTCTCTTTAGTGCTCACATGCTGTAAGGCACCTAGGGTCAGGAAAAAAACCAACATGCTTGAAAATACTTTAGCACTGAAAATATAGGTTTCTCCAACATTTAGACAAACGACAATTGTTAGCTACTAAATGGAAAGCCTTTCTCATATGGCACAAGACTACAAAAATACAGCTTGGTTTGCAAAGCACAACAGCTGCTTTAAAATGAAACTCTGCATTTTAAAATTAAAATTAGTGGAAAATACACACAAGTCAGATTCTATTTTTAAGATAAATTTAAAAAAAGGTCCAGTTGTTGGAACCATTCTGACCTTCTAACTATAACTCAAATATGTCTTAAAAACACCTTACGGGTTTCTATCTTCCCACCTATTCCAAAGAAAAACATTCTTCCAGAGTGTGCTGTAGCAGTGAAGTTTTAGCAAGTTTTTCTTGCTAAAAAAAATCACTATGGCAGCCAGATTCACTGAGGGACTTCTCACAGGTCCACCCAAAGAAGGAGGTACTTCCAAAGCCCATTTACAAAGCTCCCTTCTTTCTCCCAGTTATTGTAGGCTAAGCAAGGTTGCCCTAGAAGTTCCACACAGCAGCTGCCCTTTGCTGGTGCAGTGGCAATAAGCAGACTGGACACCCTAAGCTGAGGCCACAAGGACCTGAACCTCATAGGGAAAGCTGAATTGTGTGCTTGTTCTGCACCTGGAAAGCTTCTGTTAAATTCATGTGGCCGCTGTTCCAGCTAATGGAAGACAAAACTGGAAGGGACCTGGTACACAGTGAGCATTTGTTATCTGTGCACTTTCCTCCTACTGTTTGAAAATTGAACACGAGCAGCAGGAGACTCACGATGTTCATTGTGCAGCCAGGTTTAATTTTGAAGGCCGAAGGAAGAGGAAAAAAACCAAACCACGGGTAAGCGGGTATAAGGACGCCCTGTTGTCATAAACATGGGAAGTCCTAAAAGCACCACAACAGCCTCCTCTGCCCCCCTCTTCTGGCCCCCTCCGTTGCCATCAAATGGGGATTTATGAGTATCCATGTGTTGAGATTCCTACAGCGTTTCCATCCCACTGCTTCTGATTTATAATACAATTAGCTGGGGCACTTTGGCTGTCCACTGCTGGAAAATGCAGAGGAAATCACTCCAGTTAAATTAAGTCTACAGGTTACTAGGCACACATTTGTCTCAGGTTGTGGCAGGAAT